ATTCAAATACAACAAATTAATTCAATCATATCAACAAGGTAGTCTAAGGCCAATCGATGATCCATTTACAACCAGAGAGTTTAACCTGATCTGTTGATCTCCTATGGCTTATTCCATCTTATTGGCTATGGTAGCTAAAGTAAAGGATATGTTCCTGACTGTCTCTACAATGTGGAATCTGATGTGGGGAACAATTTTCACACTGTTACATGAAAACAGGAATCCACATATCCCTCAGGTCAGACAGCATCAGACAGCCCTCTTTATCTGGGGGCCTGACAAAGGGAATGTGATCCAAGGAATGGTGTCATTGCCAATAATTGCAAGGGACAAAGAAGAGTTAACCAGCAGCCCCCAACCATGCCCAGCAGAGAGATATCCTGTGGCCCATTCTCTCCACATACAAACATATAACTGACAGGACAGGTTACTTTAGTTCAGACTTTGTCCATAAATTTGATTTGGATCACCATTACATTAATTTGTATAGTCCATTTGGCAGGGTTATCAAGTAGTTATAGCCTTCATAGACATACATGGCATAACCCAAGAGCACTCAGGTGTCAGGAAAAACATATGAATTGGTATGAGCCTGACTAAAACAAGATCACATCTATCTGTGCATTTGTACATGGGCAAGGGGCTTCACATTTAGGAGTTTTCTTTGATAACATCAGACACAAGAGAGTAACTCAGGGCCAGCCAAGCCCTTATGAGTTTTCCTGATCCCACAGCACATAGACCTACTCAGCAGTTGGTCAGGTTGGCAGTCAGAGATGCTTCTTGTCTCCGTGAACCATGTGATTGTCTTGCCAGGTTGTAGAGCTAGAATTTGGAGACAAAGAGACGGTTCATTATTTCCCTCTCCCAGCACCTCCAACATTTAAGGAGTTCCTTCCCCAACTGAAGTGGGTAATTGTACCAAGGTGGCATGAAAGGGTTCTCCTCATGGAGGCTGCCTCCTCCTATGGAGCTCAAAAGTGCCCCGGTGTTGGAACAACCTCCAGGGGCATAGGCTACTTAGGCCCTCAGTCAAATTCAGCAGATTTTCTGATTAACTTTCAGACTCAACAAATGTATACACTGATAAGATACATATTATCTCCAATACATGAATGGTGCAATTGTGAGACTGCCTTTCTGATGGTAGGGAGCCATAGTCCTCTTCTCTTTACTGTCTTTAGGATCAACTTTTGAGTTGTAGCCCACATCACTCCCAAAATTTTGACTTGGGTGACTGGTCCCTGTATTTTATCAGAATTAAGAAGCTTTCCTGGGCTTCATATGAGTTAGCATCTGCTAACTTAATTGGGGCTTATCAAGATAATATCATCAATGTAGTAGGACCATGTCACGAACAAAAAGAGAGAGATTTGTTCTGTGTGCCAACCTACCTACTGGGGGCAAATATCAGGGGAGTTCAAGTATTACTACTGCAGCACATCTAGGTGAAGGATCTGGATCCTCCAGAGGCTAAAGCAGTGGAGACAAAGACGTGACCAAAGTCCAGGATCGCATACCAGGTGCCATCATGGGCAATTGCTTCAGTCATAGTCACAATGGCTGGAGTAGCCAGGTTGTAGGAACAGCAACTGAATTCAGTTGGCAATTATCCTGCATAAGCCTCCAGATCTCCTTAGCTTTTTTCACTAGCCACACAGCACTATTATATTAAGATACTGTGTTTTTCATAAGTACTATTACATTTAAACTATGATTTCCTTTTCTTCTCCTGGAATTCTAAATTGTTTCTTTTACAGACCATGGAAGAGAAACTGACATGGAGGTGTGATCTGTTGTGCATGCATCTCCCACGTCACCCACCTACAAGAGGCTCTTCCATATCAGGAACATCTCCTTTGGACATTATGAGCCTCACAGAACAAACATGTAAATTATCAATACCAGTTACACATTCAGTCTTGGGAGCAACAAAAATGGTGCATAACAGGGGTCCAAACAGCCACTTCCTTTTCCCATTTGATTCTGTTTCAAATCTGGCTAATTGAATGTGTAGTCCTCGCCTCTCAAGAGAACCTAGCATGTTAGTCATTTGAGCACAGGCATCAAAA